CTACGTTTTTGGAATTTTACATGTTTTAGGTATTTTATTTTACATATTTCAGCGTTTTTATTTTACTTGAAACTTTTTAACTAATGTTAAGCCCTAGCCTACCTACGATTGTTCAACTCATCTCAATCCCTAACTTACCTATGAATAAAATTAAGTCCGGTAAAGAAAATAGAAAGTTGAAGAGAAACATAACAACGACACCGATTGAATGGATGTTGTGTATGTGTGTGTTGTATTGATGTATGTGCGTAAATGTGCGCGCGTTTACTCTCCAGAAACTTCTTATTGTCATCTTCGAATTGTCATCGGAACGATCATCATGAGACCACCATCTGAAACGTGCTGACGCCCGCCACAACCCACCTCTCATCATTCTGTAGAAAAAATTTTTTATTAGCCTAGTAATAAATGAATGTTAGAATCTTAGAAGAAAAAAATTATAAAATGAAAATAATGGCAAATAAATAAACTTCTTATTGTCATCTTCGAATTGTCATCGGAACGATCATCATGAGACCACCCCATCTGAAACGTGCTGACGTCCACCACAACCCACCTCTCATCATTCTGTAGACAAATTTTTTTATTAGCCTAGTAATGAATGAATGTTAGAATCTTAAAAGAAAAAAATTATAAAATGAAAATAATGGCAAATAAATAATATTTTAAAATAATAAAGAGAGTAAAATGTAAAAAAAATTTACTTTCGTCCATTCGACAAAGGCAGAATGTTGAATGCCTGAGTGAGTCAAGAGTCAATGAATTAATTAATGATTCAATGATTAAAAAAATAAATTAATGGAAAAATGATTTGAAAGATTGAGTGATAAAATGATTGAATGAACGAATTAATGAATGAATCAATCAATCAATCAATCAATCAATCAATGAGAAAAATTAAAAGACGAAACTACTAAACCTTAGTTCAAAAATCGTCGTTACAGTACTTCATTGCACCGACCATCATCATCTGGTCGGCACACATGATTTCATCCGAACTTCTGATTGTCAGTCGAACAGCCAACGCGCTGATTCTTCCTACACCACCATCATCATACGTAAATCATCATGAGACAACCATCTGAAACGTGCTGACTCCCACCACTCTCATCATCCTGTAGACAAATTTTTTTTATTAGCGTAGTAGTAAATGAATGTTAGAATCTTAGGAGCAAAAAATTATAAAATGGAAACAATGGCAAATAAATAATATTTTAAAATAATAAAGTGATTAAAATGTAAAAAAAACTTACCGTCGTCCATTCGATAAAGGCAGAATGTTGAATGCGGTTCGGTTCCTACGTTGTCCTCCAAAACTGGTGCCAGTCCTCATCGAGATTGTTGTTGAAACACAGCCCGTGTTGATAGAGAAAGAGAAAATTCTCATCAGAAAGCTTAGCGGTGCCTGCATCTCAAATTGCTTAATAAAAATGATCCTATCTACCTATTCAATTACCTTAGCTAATCTATATTAAATTGTTAATGGTACGATAGTCGAAAGTCCTCCTTCATTCTCCCTCCTTGCACAGAGGCTCACCGACAGCCAGGGCACCGGATAGTAAACCATTGCCGTGCGGATAGTAGACTATTGCCGTGCGGATAGTAAACCATTTGCCGTCCGGAAGCCGTGCGGGTAGTAGACTATGGCCATGCCGCATGGTAAATCATTACCGTGCAGATAGTAAACCATTGCCGTCCGGATAGTAAACCATTGCCGGTTCACCACTGGCCACCAAGGCTTACC